GAAGATACTTGTTCAAAAACACATCCCTGATGGTGGCTTCTGCTGTAACGGGCAGAAGGGTGATCTGACATAAGGGAACAACTGCCCACCAATTCAAGGGTGGTCTTGTGTACTGTACTATTCGAAGGGGAGAGCCACTCTCACAAGGACCTGATGTAACGATTTACGATGGCAAGAAGGCAGAGGCACATAAGTCATTTTGTCCCCTGCAGGCCTCCAGACACCAGTCCCGGTACAGCAGCAGGAAACCAGCCTACACGTCCAGCTTTGCCGGAGGCAGAACAAGGGAGAAGCTCAAATACCCACAGTGCTAAACTGACGCAACCACCATGGCATACAAGCATTAGCAGCACTGTTAGTGCCAAGTAAAGCGGCTGGTCCCCCTAGTCTCCTGCATGCATAGGTGACTGTATACCTATGTGGGCATGTACGACACCAGACACATGGGTCTGAGTCATTGGGGAACAAGGCTATAAGCTGGACTTCCAGGAGCCCCACGTTTCAGTGAGTTCAAGCATTCATCTCCGCCGGAACATCCAGAGCTCTCTCAGACGCTCACCAAAGAAATGTCACTACTTCTCAACATTCAAGCCATTCAATATGCTGCTGCCAATCAACAAGGACTGGGGTTTTACTCCAGATGTTTCATGGTCAGAAAAGTTATGTGGACTTCAATGGTAATCCTGGATGTAAGAATGCTAAATGCCTTACTTGCAATGCATGCCTACCTGCATGTTTTCATGCACCTGCAGTACTTCCAGTAGCTGTGGCTCTGTGCTCTAGCGCAACACTACACGTACTGGCCATCGCTATTCGGCCTGGCCTCTGCTCCAAGGCTGTTCACCAAGCGACTCATGAACTTGCTGGCGGCTAGAAAAGGGTGTTCACATTTACCCAAATCTGGTGACCTGATCAGAGCAGCAACACGTCTCAAACTCTAGCTGGAGAATGATGTAGTCCTTAAATTGCTCAAGGACCATGGTTGGGTGGTGAACCAAGCCAATTGCTTCCTCCAAATGACTCAGTTATCTATCATCTTGGAACCAACATCTGGATGGACTAAGGTCAGATGCAGCTTCGACACTACAAGGCACTTCTCATAAGCCAGCAGGTTCAAGAGCTGCAAACCCGACTGGTAACCAAGACAAGGTATATCCTAGTCCTTCTGGAGCACATGACCTCCACTACGGAGATGCTGCTCTGGTCGAGACTACACATCAGGCCACTTCAGTGGGCTCTATTACCTCACAATCCCCTGAACTGGGTAGGTCTGTAGACATTTACTCCTTGGTCCAACAAGCAGAGGGTACTGGGCAAGAAAATAATTTACCATGGATGTGTCTATGACTCTGTAGTGTCCATGGCTCTGTCATGTCCATGTCCTTGTAGTGTCTGTGTTACTTTAGTGTGTTCTGACCTCAATGCACATAAATGGAATACATCTATTCAGACTATCAACCCTGGTTCATAAACACAGTCTAAACTCAGACTGATCTTCTGAACTTGATATGGTTAATGAGCATGGCCTTCACCAAAGTTGAGTGGTGATGGATCCATTACTGGGTAAAACTGTACACATAAAAAAAACAGAAGTCATGAGCTAACTGAACATTTAATTCCCCTCATCAAATGCACAGTGACAAACAGCTCCATTACATCAAGCAGTTTTAAATGCCTAAGCAGGAACTTGCCATACTTCACCACTGTGGCGAGTATACAGTACAGTACAGACTGAACTGAAATATCATTTGTCCAAGAATTAAACAAAGGGTTAAACCAAAGCATACTTCCTTATCCTTGCTCTAGGGAGCGTCTGGATATACCATTAAGATTTATGCAGGGCCGCTATTTTCAAGAGTGACTCACACTATCTCTCAGTCTTAACAATGAGCTGCCCATGCTTGTGCCTGAGTAGGCCTCTTTATCAGAGCACATGTGGAATGCTGGTTGTAACTCTGTCTTTGAAACTGTTATATGCCATGAACTAAACACAACTCATGGAGTCTACAGAATTAATCACAAGTATTGTGGGTACAGGATGCAACTTCTCTTTCTGCATTTTTAAAAACAGCTGAACCAGCCTCTGTATAGTCATGTGATCAGGAGACCCTCACTCTGGATAGCAATTCCAAACATGTTTGTTGTAGATATGTAAATGATCAAGCATAATATGACCAGACCTCCTAACTAGGCTATCAATTCCACATTTGCACTTACTGCCATTAGTGATTATTGGTGTGGTAAATATCAAAAGGGATAGAAAATGTCTCATGTCTCTGCAGGTCCTGAGTCTCTCTACCGTCTGCATCTATGTAAACTGTAGAGTCAGTGTCTTTGAAGTGTACGGGAACATTGTGTTCTTGTTTCCACAGTGTCCATGTCTTCGCATAGTGTCCATGTCTCTGTAGTGTTTGTGTGGTCTGTAATAGCTATGTCTCTATTAGTGTCCGGTTTCTGTAGTGTCCCTTTCTACGTAGTCTCCGTGGTCTCTGTGTCTCACCCCTCCCACGCGTGGCTGTAGATGTAGTCGGTCTCGGTTGGAGCGAGGGATGAACGGACGCACGTTCTCTTCTCAAACTCCAGCGCGCCTCCTCGATCTTCTTGACATCGCCATCAACTGGTTGTGATGAGGACACAGGGAGATTCAAGAGTCATGTACGTCGCCATGTGTGAGAGGAGCTAGATGGGGGTATCAGGCTGCCCTGCACTGAGCACCTTGTGATAGACTCGATGGCAACACAAACGGCACAGCAGCGCAGCAGCCTCCCTCCCTGGGGGGGGCCCCGGGGGCCACTGATGGTGAGGTGCGGTGATTTCTTCATTGTTTAAGTCTTGTCATGGTTTCTATTGTCTTTGGAAAGCATCAATCATGTGTGACTTATGACTTATTCATTGAGTCCCCAATGCATGTATTTGACAGCGTTGGTATCTGGCCTTTCTAATTTCTAAACAACTTGTGTTGAGTGAGTGGCACAGATTCATAAAAAAACACACGAAATGGACTCTCTCTGCACGTGTAAAATCTTTCATTTCACAGTCCCCCACCTGGCGACTTAAGGAATCGTCATGATTCCCAACTCGAGCCTCTCTAGGCTTAGTTAGAGGCCTACTTGTATGATTATGCCATGTAATAAGAAGGTAAAGCTATACTTCCTATATATCGAAAGTCATGTTCATTACAGAGTTACAACAAATGTTCTCTCTTTGCTACCACAGCGCTAGGGTCTGAGGTCGTTCACTATCCGTCCCTGAGAGCAGATGGGATTCCTCAGATAGTGTGTATTTCTCTTTATCGTATGTATGTTAATTTAATCAAAGTAATCAAAACAAAATCAAGGAATGTGATTACATCCCTTAATGCCGAATAAAGGGTTATGTTACTTCTAATACCAAGTCATTGGTAATTATCAGACGTAACAAATATAATTACTGGACCTGTGATGTCAAAGTTTGCGTGATGTCAGAATGCTGCCAATAATAACTGATGCACTATGATGGTTCTAAATGTATATCCTCTAGTCATTGCAATGTCCCTCTTCTTTGATAATGTCATGATTATACCATCTGGTCCAGGAACTATCCCCTTGTTCACACTACAATCGACAGAGTTGACCTCTTCAAGTATGACATCTGGAACTTCCTCTTCATCTGAGATTCTGTATCTTATGTGATGCGCATTTTTTGTGATAGCGAGATACATATAACTAATTCACTAACTGCGAGATTATATCCCAATCATGAGTTAGAATTCCATCTCTTCCACTAGGGTCAATGATTTGTGAATTGGAAAATAATTTTTGCTAACGCTTTTCCAAAGGAAATATCAATTCATCAAAGCTCTGGGGATATGGTTTGATCTTTGGTTGAATGTAAGGCACACACACCAATCCTACAAAGTAATTGAGTAACTTTTTTCTTTAGAGGACAATGTTCCTTATTATCCACTCGCCTACAGCCTATCACAGCAATCTCTTTGCCCAAAAGCGATTAGGTCAATGATTATAAATTCACCCCATAGCACAGCTCTACATAATTTAGACCCCCGCTACACATTGGGTGCCGCACTTTTTTTCTAAACGAGTGCCACTCTGTTCATGCCGAACTCTACCCTCAAATCTGGTCCCCCCATTCCAGTCTCTCGGCGGTGGGAGGTACATTGCTCAAAGTTTATTTTAAAAGCAGCTAAAGATATCGGTCTTTAATGAAGAGGGTGAACAAGGCACAGAAAGAACTAGGCACACGAAAATCGAGGAACATGGATGAAGCACAAGGAGCAGGGAAAATTAGCATTTCATGACCGGAACGTGCGAGGCTTTCAAGGACTTTTTCTACAGATTAATTTGAATGGTAATTCTGAGAACGTTTACTCACGGTTAATTTGAAGAGCAACCAAAACACTTTTTCCCCAAAGAGGATTGTTGCAGTTTCTGTAGCAGCAGCAATGGCTTAGATGTAGGTGGCTACTTCAGGCAGTTAACACGTAGGCCTTCATCTCCCAGGGAGGGTTTACTCTCCATCACACTGGTATGCTGAAGTAGTAACTAATTAGCACATTTTGTTTACGTGACTAATTGGCTGCATCAGGTGGTGGCAGGTTTCACAACACATTTATATTCACGCAATCTAACCCAAAAAAAACCTTTATTGTGGCTTCTTAAATCATTAGAGTGATAATAAAATGAATTATTTCATGCAAAACGTTTAATAGAAAAACGTATGGGTGCAAACAGCGAAAGCATCGTTTTAGACAAAAGAGGCACCCAGCTGCACATAGCAAAAAAGGTTAATTGGTGTGTGATTATGGTGGTGTATGTCTTGAAAGAAGCTCCAGATATTAGGAAACCAAGTATCAAAATTTTAAATTGTTAATGCTTGAATAAAAAGGAATTAACCATGATTACATTAACCAGCACGTGTCTAACACTTGAGGCGGAACACTCACAGAAGGCGAGGGACACCTTGTAGGGCACGTAGACTTTGCCGTCCTCTGACTTGGCCATTTATTCCCAAAGATGCGGTTCTGGGGGAACGGCGATGTCTCCCCACTCGAGCCTGTAATCTGTGTGAACCAAGACAGCGCCACTCTTACACTCATGCATCACTCACTGTGAGACACTCATTCTCAGTGTAAGACTCTTACAACACTCAACAATAATAATCACTACAGTGCTTGTGCCAGGCTCGATGGCATTTTTCAGCCACGTAACGTGTCGAAAGGCTGATAGGTCACAGGACAAACCCAGATATTATGGTTTGACTGACTGAGATGACTGGCAGATGCACCACCTGTGGTCTCCGCTGTGCCAAATTAATTTTGTTTTAACCAGCTGGTAGCTGTGCTCGGAGTTCTGAGTATCGCCCGTCTGCCCCTCCATTGTTGTTGGGAGGCCAAATTGCTTCCAACTGCCGGTAACATTCTTTCCAGGCTTTAGCTCCCACTATCTAGTGAAACAGAAGGCTACTGGGGCTAGGCAGTGGACTGGGTATGAGGCTATATAACCTAGTGAACGCAGCCTGGACTGCTAGAGCTCACGGATGGAAACGTGTCCAGATTTTCAAGGATCTGTGCACTCCTCATACAATCGCGGGTGTTTATACTTAGGATGGAACGGAGGGAGGACAGACTTAATGCTTTTCCTTAAAACCCCCACGCTTCGCAATTGTAGATAAGAGAGGTTATAACTATGACCGATAAGACCTGAAGCTTTATATGGAACACAGGCCAGGTAGCTTCCCCATAATGTACACAGCTTGATGTAAAGGTAATACCACTCGACTGATTTGGAGTGGAGACTTCTACTGCCAAACCGGAACAGGTCATAAGGACACTGCCAATCACCTCAGTCAATTAACCCATAGCCCTGGGTCTGTCCCGTAACCTCCTGCCAGCGAGCCTTCGATACTTCACGTGGCCTTAAAGTGCACAATAGCCTGGCACATGCGCCGTGGTGACGTCACCGTTACTCAGTGGCAAATGGCGGTTGTTGTTTGTGTCACACTACTGAGTGGGGAGCAGTAGTGTAGCAGTTAGTGTGCTGCTCAACGAACTCAGTGACCCAAGTTCGGTTCCCGGTCACGGTCAACACCAGTGAACCAGCCCTGGGTCTCCTCTAGGTCGAACTCAGCTTCAAATGAGGACCTGGCAGTGTGGTAAACATTGCCACTTAGGAGACAAAGGCGGCCGGCATTGTGCTGGCCACCCACCCCTCGTGTGCCTTTGCCGGCCTTCATAGCTGCTCGCTAACCGCACTTGCCCCAATAGTCTGTTGGGCTATTCTGGGGATCTTTGTTGTAGGTGAGTACTCTGTGATAGTTGTGATAATTCCGGAGAGTAAGTGACACACACGGAGTGTAACACACACGGAGGTGTAAATGACTCACCGAGTGTAAATGACACACCGAGTGTAAATGACACTCCGAGTGTGACACACACGGAGTGTAAGTGACACACGCTGAGTGTGACACACGCTGAGTGTAAGTGACACACACGCTGATGGCAAGTGACACACACTGAGTGCTCCTCACCTCGTCTCTTTGTCTCCACCTTCAGCTTCTCTCTCAGCTGCGCTCACAGCGAGAGACAGGGAGACAGAGTGGAGAGGTCGAGATACATGCACGCTGACTGCTACACTCGTCTTCACGTCACTCTCATGATGATCATCGTCAATGTCACTGCCTTTTTATCGCTGCATCTGATGAAATGTCCTTTGCTCGGCACAATGTAACTCCATTAATGTTTATTTATTTTCATTGTTTAAGCTCCATGAATGAATTTGATTAAATTAATATTCATCGGATCCCACTGCCCACATACCAATACCCGCCATTCACCACAACGTGACGGTGCCATCTGTTGTATATATAGGCCTTTTTGCATGATCAATATTAAGAATAATTCTGCCAATATTTTTGTATATAATCAATCGCAAGGTCGCTTGGAGCACAAACAAAAATGTAACCACCACCCACACCCCACACAACAGCTGCCTTTCAGAAACCAGGCAGCCGGAAATAATGGTAATAAAAAAAAACCTTGGTATAAAGGAGAGAGGGGGGAGTTCTCGAATGAGATTCTGGGGAGATCTCATCACAACTTAAAAGACCGCCGCCAAACAGATGTCGCCAGCTTGTCCAGGGCAGCAAAAACCATACAGACAGGTTATCTCAGTTAACGAAAAAATCAGAAAATTAGCGACCAGAATAAGTGTATAACATAGACTGTCAACACACTCAACCAGATTAAAACCAGACTGTAGCCACATTGGTGGCCTTAGCGTTATTAATTACCTTATTTTACTCTCATTCTCCTCCCATATTGTTTCTTGTATCTTGCTATTGACGTGATTTTACAAAAAAAGGAATATGAATTCCGGCAGACGAGAAAGCTTAAGTGAAAACACTTAGACCTCTAACCTCAGGACACCAAAACATAACTCGAGTAAACAGCACAACCCCTGAATACAGATAGACAACAAGGTTAATAAAACCCTAAGAAACACGCGGTAATAACAATGCTAAATCACAAATCTTGAAAAAAAATAAACCAAATAATAATTATGAAGTATTGGACCGAGGGTCGCCCAAAACAATAAAAGGGGAAATAAGTCAATCATATATAACCAAGATAAAATGTATTCCAGAGAATCCTCCTAGCCGCCTTTGTCCTTCCAGCAGCACGTGATAGCAAGATTTGCACACACAGGCAAAAGAGCATCTCCCCTTAGAAATAAATCAAACCACGATGGAAATACTGTGAACACGGCTACAAAACATACATTGAGTCACTTACAGAATCATAACTATAAAATAAGATGTAAAATGAGTTTTTGTTTTAACTTCCAAACGGTACAACAGGACACAACTTGAAAAGCTTTTGTGTGACAAAGAATGTCACACCCACCGCGAGGGCAGAGAGGGAAGTGGGGGAAATGAAACTCACAGAGAGTTTATTGCAATAATACACCGAGGTAGCAGAATGGGTATCTGTTTTCCACAGACTTAACAGATGGCTTAATGAATCAGAACACACACACGGACACATGCCCAACTTCCCCCACCGCAGAGTGACATCAAAGGAAATTCCGGTCCTTCGTGAGAAGGCGAGCCAAGGTGGGCGAATTTTCATTTAAGCACGGACACAGATCATGAGTTTCAGTCTTGCAAGGGAGCAGGCTGCGGGGAGTCTGGGAGAGGGACATGGGCTCGACATCAACCATGGGTGTCACCTCGCAGAGAGAAGTGACGATGTGTTGTTAAGAGCGGAGTTCGGCATGGGCCGACAGCGTATCGCTGAAAGTTTATTCTACATTTATCCTGATGTATTGAGTCGCTTGCAAAGTAAAGGATTGCGATAAGTTGTATTGTACTAAGCTTTCACAGTCGTTTAAGAGCTGTGCGAATACAATTCAGAAGACTCCAGCAGTTTCAGAAGACTCCAGCAGAAGAAGACTCCAGCAGCTACCGAAGATCACCACGGAGCAACAGAAGGGCTCTGCAATCAACCAAGGATGGCGAGGCTCGCTGAGTAGCGATGTGCTACCCAGTGCAAGTTCAGCGCTGACAGAAGAAGTATTCCTCGAAAATCGTTCTACACTGAGTGTCAGCTCCCACGAGCCGCTGCAGTTCGAGTTGAGCTGACGAGCAACGTCCAGCAATCAACCTTGAGAAAGGGCAGAAAGCGACAAGCATCGACCAAGCCAACATCACAGAGAACCAGCTCCATCCAGCAAGGGTGTCTGCCACCAGCGAACGAACTGCGAGCGCATCGTTCACCGCCAGAGAACACGGAGCTGGAGAGAGCGCGCAGCAGCACCACCGAACACAGGTGTCAGCTTGCCAGCGGACGAGGGACAAGAGCGACCGAGCTTCTTCAAGGACAAGCATCGTGCCGACACAGCTCATCCAGCAGCGGAGAGAGCCGGCAGCTAACAGCGGACACGCCCTGAGCGAGAGGGGGAGCTCCAAAGCCGTTCGTATGACACGCCCACATTCACACGCCACCACGCATCGCCGGCGTCTGCTCAATGCAAAAAATTGACCAAGGGAACCAAAACATGCTCACATACATAAACATACCCGGACTAACAATAAGAATCAAGGAGACAAATCCCCACACGCACCTGAAACACATACCCGGACTGATGATAAGAATACTAATGACAAGGGTGTGTCAACTATTAGTGATAACGAAGAACCTCGCTGCTCATTGAGTGATATGAATACGGTCGTTTATAAGTACATTAGTCGTTATTTTTCTTTTTAATCGCATCAAAAATTACCAATAGATTCATCGATGTAAATTAAACGTTTGAAATCTTCGTTACGAATCTACACGCTCACAGGGAGAATATTGTGTTAAACCTTTCTTTTGATCACAGAATCTTGCCCACGAATGAATTGAAGCCTTAGCCAAAAGATAAGCATCTTGCGTAAGCAGGCATACACTGCTGCACACCATTGTTCCAAGACATTTCGGTAATTATATAATCTGGCCGATTAATCTATTCACATATACTTTTGCCTTCGGGATATAATATTTTATTGCCTTTCATATGAATATCGTCACATGCATGTTTAAGGACGTTTCCCTATCGCCGTATATGCTCGCGTTACTCGGTGGAATTAATCAATTGTTCGGTTGCCCAGTTTGACAACGTAATCATTGATGGTTAAATGTATGGATCAATGAGGGGAACTTCCCCAGTGGTACTGTGTTGATAATTCCAAGCATAAGAGTTCGAATATTAGAGTGTTATGTTTTTGTTTAGAAATTAAAATTGCTTAACACAGAAGAGTCTGCGTGGTTCCTTCCTGAGTTCATGCATAATAAACATAGTTATACGAACTGTATCCTGCGTTGAGATATGAATTTTGGAGACCTGACATAAACACACTAAGATATAATCAGTAAATGTTAGAGCGAGGATAATTGTATTATTCCGATTGATAATACGACCCTAGACAACGAAGCCGAACTTAATTTAGCATAATTACATCACACTTGCATAACTTCATACAACTAATTGTATTATCCCGATTTATAATACAACCCAAGACAACAAAGCTAAGTATAATTAGCATAACTTAATACATTAGCATAATTGCACACATTAGCATAACTCAATATGATCATCTCCTTCATTACCATAATCCATGCGCCTATTTTAGAATGTTCATTTTATTTTCTTATTTTTATTTAGTTTTCAAGACCCGACATATACAATACATCACCACGTGCCAGGCCAGGTGCACTTTAAGGTCACATGAGGTGTCGAAGGCTCGCTGACAAGAGGTCATGGGACAGACCCAGGTGGCATGGGTGTACTGAGATGACTGATATATGCATCAGCTGTGCCTCCTACCCACACACCAGCTTAATGACACGTCTGCTTTGTAAGGAATGCATCACCGACAAGTGTAATGTATCGCATGCAGGGAGCACAGCCAGGTGGCACTCCGTTGTGTCACGCGTGAAGTGTCGCTCCCGTGCATTGCGTGTGGTGCGCATGTTGCGCGTGGTGCAAAGCTGGTTTTTAGAGAGCATTAGGACCTGTCTCACCTTGGGGAGAATTTCCTGCAGTGCCTCTTGATCCAGCTCGGCTCCCGACTGCAGCGTCTGGGGGCAAAGCAGGGATCAGTCATCCTTTCTCACGCAGAGAGATCCGTGTGTGGTGTGAGCCGAGACGAGTCAGGCACCCCCCGCCCCCCGGACATGGGCAAAGTACGGCCTGCGGGCCGTATACAACAAAACAAACAAAACTTAACTCCGAGTTCTCTCCGAATTTCACGAGTCCGTTCTAGACCCCACAGTTTTTTAAAGAGTTTTAAGCACAGAAAACATAATTAAAGTTTGAAAAATCATTAATTATACAAACTTTTCTATAATTTCCTTCTTCACTTCGATTTAAATTTTCTTTAAAAACTTCTTCTCACCAACATTACCACTCATTACCACTTTCTCCGAAGGCAAGTTTGTAAAAGAATACATGGTACAGACAGCAGACATCTTGTGTCCGGAGATCAAAAGCAAATTTGAAAAAGTCAGTTCATCACGCAGGACTGTGACTCGCCGTGTGGAACTGATTGATAAAAATATAGCCAGTCAATTAAACAAAAAGTCTGATTCCTTTGAATTATATTCACTAGCACTGGATGAAAGTACGGACGTAAAATACACTGCTCAGCTCCTCATTTTTATCCGAGGCATTGACGACAGTTTTGCGATAACAGAGGAGTTTTTGACCATGGAGTCCCTGAAAGGAACAACACGGGGAGAGGACTTGTATAACCAGTTATCTGCTGTAATCGAAAGAATGACGCTACCTCGGAGCAAACTTGTCAATGTCACAACGGATGGATCGCCAAATTTAACTGGAAAAAATGTTGGGCTGCTGAAAAGAATCCAGGATAAAGTGAAAAAGGAAAACCCTGTCCAGGATCTTATTTTCCTTCACTGCATCATCCATCAGGAATCCCTGTGTAAGTCTGTATTGCAGCTTAATCATGTCGTGAATCCAGTCGTAAAACTTGTGAACTTTATACGAGCAAGGGGACTTCAGCACCGTCAGTTTATTACGTTCCTGGAGGAAACTGATGCGGATCATCAGGACTTGCTGTACCACTCTCGTGTCCGCTGGTTAAGTTTGGGGAAAGTGTTACAACGAGTGTGGGAGCTGAAAGAGGACATCATCGCATTTTTGGAGTTGATGGGAAAATCTGACGAATTCCCTGAGCTAAGCGACAAGAACTGGCTTAGTGACTTTGCGTTTGCTGTGGACATATTTTCACACATGAATGAGCTGAATGTGAAACTGCAGGGGAAAAATCAGTTTGTTCAGGACATGTACAAACATGTGAAAGCCTTCAAATCCAAGCTCACTTTGTTCTCCGGACAAATTGCGAACAAATCTTTCGCTCATTTCCCCACACTTGCCATGCAGGAAGAGGCACCGCGAAACGCAAAAAAATACAGCAAATCGCTTGACGACCTGCACGGAGAATTCTGCCGTAGGTTCTCTGATTTCGAAAACATTGAAGTCACTTCAGCTGGTGTCCTGTCCCCTGTCACAAGACCCTGAAACAGCACCACAGGAGCTGCAGTTGGAACTGATAGATCTACAGTCTGACTCCGTCCTAAAGGAGAAGTTCAACTCTGTTAAACTGAATGACTTTTATGCTTCACTTAACAGAGCCACGTTTCCAAACCTCCGGAGGACTGCACAGAAGATACTGACTTTCTTTGGCTCGACGTATGTGTGTGAGCAGACATTCAACGTCATGAACGCCAACAAAGCCCGTCACAGATCAAAGTTAACGGATCATCACCTCAGATCTATACTGAGAATTGCCACAACCAAAATAACTCCAGACTTGGATGCACTGGCAAAAATGGGAGATCAACAACACTGTTCCCACTGAAACTGAAAGTGATGATCTGTTCTTCTTGGTTCTTTCGGTAAAGTCACGTAGAAGGGAATAAAATAATAAAAATAAAACATAATAAAATAAAATAATATAATAATATAATATAATAAAATAATATAATAAAAATAATATAATGATGATCTGTTGCTGCAGCGAGGTTGGAGCCAAATCTCCATCACACAGCCTGTGTGGCTGCTCTAACCTGTTAATGTAGATAATAAAGAAGTTCAAGTGAGGTAATTGGTTTGGGCGCAGGCCTCAGATGTTTTCATGATGTTTCATCAGTCACGTTACATGTTTTTGTATTGTTCATGTTTGGGCAATTTGTTAAATTTCCTTGCAAATAAATGCTTTGTTACCTGTTAAAGGCCAAATCCTTTCATGTAATGATTTTTACATGTCATTTATATTAGTTCACACAAACACTCCATCCATCTGTTCCTGGCCCGGCCCCTCTGTCTAATTTTAGAACCCATTGTGGCCCGCGAGTGAAAAGTTTGCCCACCCCTGATCTTGACCAACAGAGACTCCTCACAGCCGTGCATTGTGCTGAGCGACAGCCACTGACAGTTGTTGTATATATGCCTTTTCCAGAAAATTATATTAAGAGCCTATTTTGAATGCAATCTTTTTTATATAGATCTGGATTGAGCGGGTTCCAAAAAAAATCCAGTGGAGTAGACCTGTTAACTCCTCCCCTCAAGACAACAAAGGCCAAGGAGCACCCACCCCTGCCTCTTCCACACAAAAGACATCTGGAGTAGAGGCCGACCGAAACTGAATTTCTGGTTTCGGCCGAAACCGAATCCAGACAAAAAGTAAAAAAATTACTTTCGGTTGAAACCGAAAGTTGAACTACACTTTCGGCCACAAAACCAGAAGCCGAAACCAAAAGTTTAATTACACTTTCGGCTGAAACCGAAGCCGAAACCGAAAGTTTAATTACACTTTCGGCCAAAGCCGAAAGCGAAAGCTTAACTACACTTTCGACCAAGACCGAAACAGAAAGGTATATAACCGAAGTTCCTGAAGACAAGATTTATGAAATATGTCATGATGCAATGCTACTTTAATTAAAAAGAACTCTAAAACTAATCATTCAGAGCCTGCAGTAAGAGTTGCTAAATATACAATCTTTAGGTGTTACTTACTTAGCAATTATATCCAAACAAACGAATGTTGTAGTTAAGAAACAACATTTTTTCCGCATTCTCGCCCAGCAGGTTGCTGCGCCTTGCTTGCATCAATCGACTTTAGTGAAGTAATCCCACACTGCATGTTTCAACATTCTTCACGGTGATTAACTGCTCCGTTTATTAATTTGTATTTTCTACTTCACTCAGATTCGTAATTTCGTTATCACTAATTCGCTACGGAACTATTAACTAACTGAATATCAATATTGTCAGACTTTGCATCTTGGTATCAACACGCGTGTAGACTGAAGCGAATGCAACACATAAGCCAAGGCGGGCAGGCGGCTGGGAACAGACAACAGAGGCACTTTGTTGTCGTCCCGCCAAAGAGACTCCACCCACGGATGAAAATGCAGGCTGCCGTCTGTTGACCGGTCGTATATACATTAGCAGACCATGGTTGCGGCTGTAACCTCGCTCCCAAGCTGCTGCTGCTGACGGGTGTGTGTATTTGCAGCCTATCGCATAGGATTACCTAGCGCCGACTGACCGGCCAATAGGCAGAGTGATAGACGTAGTACTAGCGTTATATTCTAAAAATAGATATTCAGTTGATGACCGAAAGTCAATATCAGTTTCGGCCGAAACCGAAACCAGACCGAAAGTAAAAAATTTACTTTCGGCCGAAACCGAAAGTTAAAAATGTACTTTCGGCCGAAACCAAAAGTACGCAGAAAGAGGCCATTTGCCAACTTTCGGCACCGAATTTCGGTCGGCCTCTAATCTGGAGGTTAGTTATTCACAAACTTAGCTTGGGAAGTTGTAAAACTGGATTGACCACCACCTCATGAATAATTTGAAACATAGGCTTCAATGTTAACTTGATAGAATGTATTGTTATATGATTATGTAGCTCAGTTTTTTACTACGACTATTTACATGTTTATTAACACCCACCGATCTCTATATAGTGCCAAGAGATATGGGTTAGACATATACACTTGATAACGAATGATAGAAGTTTTGATCATTTAGAACATATACAATACGAATTTTTTCAATTCTCTACGACCAAAATAATGTGTTCCAGGGGTATAAGCAGAGCCTGCACAAACGCCTTTGTCTTCCCAGTGGCTGTTATTACATGCTACAGCAGGAATTAATTTCTAAGGATGAGCCGACCTAAAGAGGGGGAAGGCCGTTTCACAATAAACAAGGCTACAGACACCATACTTAGGAGCAATCAAAAACATCTGCATCCAAAAGACTAAAGATGACCTCCAGAGGAAGGGGGAAGTATGGCCGAGGTGACAATCACTGGCTCAGGATATCCAGGCAGCCAGATAAAAAGGTCCTTGATGTGAAGGACGTAATAAACCATTTCGGATCTTAACTGATTGTTGTTCACATTTACGGTGACTTTCAGACCGCAGTCCACTCAATGGCATTGACTGTGTATCTTGTGTTCTCCACAGGGAATGGATTATTTGCTCTGCTGCGGGTCTCCTTTCGCCGCTCTCCCATTGACATGTTTCGTTGCTTCTACATACTATTAACATTCCCTCCCTTTGTTAATGCTTCCCCCTACCCCATCCCTTTGATGCTGCTAATCCTGCAAAATACATGGGCATAATATGACTTTGAACCCCCCCGCCCACCTCCTACGCATTTCCTATAAATATGCTAAATTCCTCTTGATATGCAAATTATTTTGTCAAGGCGCTCTTCTTCCACCTCCAACCCAGCTTATATATACGCTCCAAGCTTGGCAGTGTTTCATTCTTCACCTGAAGACGGCTGCTTGCGTTGTAGCCGAAACGTCAAGAGAATAATTTTATTATGTTTTATTTTATTATTTTTATTGTTTCCATTCTACGTGACTTTACCGAAAGAACCAAGAAGATAAACTAAAACAGACACACAGACACGCATACCCGGACAAACGGTCACAATCAAAAGGAAACCTGCTCCTTTGTGAGAGAAATCAAAAGACCAAAAACTGACCGATGACGAGCGAAGGAGCAAAATCAAAAGAATTTGGATATAAACGACGAAG